CTGGCTCACTAAATATTTTCTGTCCTTTTTTGGTATTCCCTGTTTCTTCTCCTTCACTCTTTCACTGATAGCTGCATTTCTGTAACTTCCTAACATATAATACATAAAAGGAAAGTCAGAATTTAACCACTATAAAGTTGTGCAAAATTACTATGAATTTAATGCCGCATAATTTGGTGAAATGTTATAACAATAATTATGAAATGGTGCAGCTAAATTAATTTATATTTTTAGACAGTGGGGATACATATAGTAAGAAAATACTATAGCACTATGTAAATGGTCTGTATTTGTATTGCGCCTTTCTAGTCTTCTGACCATTCAAAGCGCTTTTACACATATCTTCATATAACTTTAATGACTATGATGGGAAACTGCATCACAGAGAAAAAACTTATTGCAGCTTTACAGAGTTAAAAGTTATTGCGATAAGAGTAACATGTAGACACATGTCAGAAACACATTAACTGGCCTTGTCTTATATGACAATATTAAACAATATATTTTCTCCTACCTGCTGCCTCTGGGCAACATCAGCCACCATAATGTCAGGTTCCACTGTTATACAGATGATACTCAACTGTATATCACTGCTTCACCAGACAACCCCAGCTCTTTGAGTGCGTTTGTTTCCTGTCTCACTGACATCGATATTTGGATGAGTAATAAAAAAACCCCTAAATGAGTAGAAAAGACATCCAACGTGTAAAAAGAGAGAGAAGCAGCACTCAGATTTTTGGTTTTCTCTCCAAAGAAATTAAATTACAGATCTGGGAGTGACTTTAGATCTATATTTTCATCTTAGGAACATGCTGCCAACAATACAACAACAATGCTGCTACTAAATTACTGCAATTGCAATTTCGAGCAACATAAAAATTATATAACAAAATTACAGTTAATTCAGAATGAGCCAGGATTCTCGGAAAGAAATCCCCACTGCTCTGAAACATCTGAGAAAGTACTCGCCTTTTTACTTTTTACAATTTTTTATTTATTTTTTACAAATTGTAACTCACATTTCTGAGTTCATTTTTTCAAAACTCTTCACACAGTCAGCACGACAGCAGTAAGTGTTGATAACTTTTTATTGCTTTGACACAAACAGCAATGACACCATCCTCTCTTTCTTTCACTTTTTTCTCACTCAAACTCAAACACCACCTAATCTCAGTATATTTATAGTCCATTTTGCATGTTAACATGCTATTTTAAAACTGTTAAATTTTATATTCAAAACATAAAAATTACTGCAAATTAGACTGCAGTTTGCTACATAGAAAAATAAAGCATACTGAACCCTTTTCCAGCCCTTCTGATTCATTTCTTTGACATATACTGTAGCGCAATCCATGCAATGAAGATTTTTTTATACTGGAATCTTGGTTCATGCTAAATAAATGAATAAATAAAAGATACTTCAAAGATAGTGGTTACATATTTTAATGCTACTTGTTGTAAGTTTTGCTTTAGGTCATTGTGTGAGGGACAAAGTGTTACTGTCAGGTGACAGGAGTTGATACTGAGATGTGTATGCAGTGTTTCACCCCTCCCTCCGGATCTTAGAACAGCAAACTCCAGCCCAGTATCTGACTGATGCATCGGTCTTAGAGCAGTCATGTTACTGTTATAGCTGGTCGAGGTGGTACTAGACTACTTTATTTACAGTTAGGTAAGGGGGCCACAAGCCAAAAACAGTATTTTATAAACTCATCATGTTTCTTTGTGAAAAATACCTCTACTGGAAACGTACCAGTAGAGGTATAAAATGGAAATACCCTGCTAAAGTACAAATTATGCTTTAGCAGGGTATTTGTTTTTTTAAGTATTTGTGTTTTAAAATTGTACTTAAGAACAATACTTGAGTAAATGTACACATATTGGCAAATTTCCATGGTATTTAAAAAAAGAAAAGATCCATCTTTTGAATCAGGCTTTCAAGTGTTCCTATTGTTATTATTTTCTATGTTTCATGGTATTATAGCAAACATTATACTTGTTGTTATTGTTCATTTCATTTTAATTACAGTAATGCTGTTTTTAGTCCTGTGTTGTGAAACACTTCAAGCATTGTATGAAAAGTCATTATTATTATTATTCATATTGTTATTATTATTATCAGTGAAAGAAAAAATGTCGATAAAGCTTATAAGTGATACCTGGAATGTGATGATAAACCTGATTCATATGGTTAACATTCCATATAACTACTGCCACAATAAAGTTCTTATGCAAGGTATGTTCATGTTCTGTGTGTGTGTGTGTGTGTGTGTGTGTGTGTGTGTGTGTGTGTGTGTGTGTGTGAGTGAGTCAGGAATTGCAGTGTGAGGTGGGGTGTGTCAGTGTGGAGGATGAGTGATTACAGTGGACAGTAATCCTGCCGATGGATTAGCAGGTGGCATTAGGAGAAGTGGGGGTGTAGCACACCGCCACCTCTGAACTGTCACAATATGGAGCAGCAGCTCACTGGGCCTCACCTCCGTCTGCTTCACCCCAGCAACACACCCTGGACATTGTAACACACACTGTGGGATGGTTAGACAACAAGAATGATGACCACTGAACTGATGAATGGGTTATCTACACCTACATTGTTGACATTGCTAAAGGCTGCTTGTTGTTGCAGGGTGGGAAAACCTCGTGTATCTCCACAGAGGAAGTGTATATTTTTTGCCTGATGATGATTAGGCTATTTTTGATTTTATCTATGTGGTTTTGAAAATGTGTTAAATTTAATTGTTGAATTTAAAAGCAAAAATCTAAAGTGTGTTAGAAGCTTTTCATCTGGCGGCAATTATATCATTGTGCTATTTCACTCATGCTTTCACTTCAGGTTTTTACCTGACAGAGACTGTCCAGCCTTTTTAAAATAAATTATTTTTTTAAAACCAAACTCTCTTAAATCATGGGGATGTCAGTTTTCTACATTCTTCTATTGGGAGCTATGACTTTGTAATATATTACACAGTATTAGATGTTGATACATTTTCTATTATTGAAACTGAAAATGATATATGATAAGGACTTAGTCAGGAATTACATTCTGTCCCTATATAATCTTTTATATTGTGCATCTAATAAGAGTGTAACACCTTATATATATATGAGTATGTCAAATATCATGAGTGAATGTGCAAACATTTGATTTGATAGTCAGCTAAACCATTTGGTTAATGTCTTGGCCATTTAAAATTTCCACTGCTCTATTCCAGTTTTATCATCGTCCTCTTCACATGTGCTGGTCAAAAAATAGAAGCAGCATCACATGTTTATTTCTTTAATTAGCTTCTTTCTACTCTTCTCTACTTTCTTTTTCACACATCAGATTTTCTGAGTACAAGGTAAGTTGCAATCACCTCAGAAGACACAGAATGTAAGCAGATAGTGATAAAGATGCAATATTATTTGATTATTTAAAAGAATGTAGAAAAGGTATTTCACATCACATGTGAATGTAAAAGGGCTCCCGATTACTCTTACTGTTGCTGCAGTGGAATATACCAAGTGTGCTACAATCAGTTGTATAGGTTCAATTCAATGGACTTACAGCTGTGTACTTCAATTTATAATTAATCAACCCTATTTCAAGACATAGAAGAGACGCCGTTGCCTTTTTTCAGAGGGATAAATCTGGCTTCACAACACTGTCCTGACAGGTTTATTTGTCTGGTATCTCAGCCAACTAATTCCATTAAATTGTTAGTGAAGACAGATCAGGTGGAACAAAACTCACCCAAAATCTTCTTTTGCAGTAATGTGCATATGTACCTACTTAAAACTAGAAGAAAGCTGATATTGAAATAAAACAGTGCAAACATTTTTTATTATTGTTTCCACAGTACACAGTATGGACTGTAATTTTCTCAAGGACACCAAAGCATTTATCAGTTAAAGATGAATTGTTTTTTGAAAATAGAATTTTTGTAGGATTGGACATTGGATAAATCTGCTTTTCATTATTATAAATCCAGCAGCCTTTTTATACTTGGGCTGCAGCTTATAGCCTCTCTATCTTTGAACCGAATAAAGCTGACCAGCAGGGCAACGTAGGCTATGGCTTTCCCCTAAAGTCTGTTCAACAACTTGACAAGTGAGTTTTCACTGACATCTGCTGGAGAAACATTCACTGTCTTTCATCTGACTGATCTGGTAGTAGATGTACTGTAAAGGTGTTATTGAATAGGCAGCCCTGTGATAACATTTTATGAACTTAAAGTTTGTCTGGTTTGGCAAATGTATAATTAATCTAAAACATGTGCTTTACTTTAAATACATACAATAATTTTAACACCTACAGTGTTGCAATTTTGAAGAATTATCTGTAGGCCTACTATTATGTTTGACTCTTGTATCTGGAAGGTTTGCTGTGGTAAGTATACTTCAAAAATGACATTGGTTCCTTAAAGCGAGACAGGGTCATGAATGTCTATCTGAAAATAAAGTGCATAAAAAGAGAATGAGTGAACAGAGATGGATGCAACCAGAAAACAAGAGATAAATAGCAACAGGTTATTGATAACAGAATCGCCTTTCAAGAAGTAAGCCAGTGCTTTGACTTGAGATGTGTCAGACAGTAGCCTACCGGTAGATGGCAGGATCAGGCACCAGATGCGTCCAGTCTGTCATCAATTTACAGCACAAAGTAGAAAATCAACGTGTTGCGTTTCAGAACCTCCGGTCGATGCGTAATTAAGATACACAGAACTAAAATGAGATAATCTGTTAAGAATTCTAATTGTTTTAACTTGAAAAAAAAAAAGACCATTGATGATTATTGACATGATTATTTAAAGTCAGCACGGAGCAACGTTTCGATGAGTGAGGTAGACATGAGCCATACAAAGAAAAACCTCGCTAAAAAATTAACAGTAAAGAAACAGAAAGCCAACTTGTGGGAGACACGTTTCTTCATGTGAAAGCACTTTTGTCAGGAACATCATTTCTCCCTCTTCGCTGGAACGTTTACGAGCACTAAATGCTAAATATCCCATAAACGCGAACGCAGCTCCTCCCAAACCCGGATGTTTTGCTTCATGATAGTTTAAAGGCTAATGAGAATAAGCCAGAAAAATACCGGCTACTTATGTCTTCAGAATAAAATGAACTTCATTAAATGAGTTGAGTTAATCCTGCAGGATGCTTCGAGAGTCGTATCCCTTCGCGGAAGACAGTTTCAGCCGCTTCCCGTCGCAGAGTAACATTTACGGGCTGTGCCAGGCCGGGGAGCAGGAGCTGCTGGCGGCCACTCTCAAGGGGGAAGGTGCTGTGCTTCAGATACCAGGAGCTGCAGCAGAAAATCCGACCTGTGGCCAAGGAGGTTCAGTTCACCTACATACCAGGTAATGTTCCTCACCGGAAAACTGGACGACAGTAACGTTACCTGATCAAAGCAGCAGAAGTATTAATCCGAGTGTATTATGATGTAACGATTGCAATCCACATTGTGTTCAGTTTGTTCAGACCTCGTGTAGGGTAAGAATAAATCAGTTTTATTATTGTTTAATTTGCTCTAGCTGCTGCATTTGCATGTGAATTAGTCTGGTGATGTCAGGCTACATTTACTCTAGTACTGCACATAAGTACAAGTTTTAGGTACTTTCACTTCACTTGTGTATTTCCAATCGATGCTACTTTATCCTTAGATTCCACATTTCAGAGGGGATTATTGTACTTTTTACTCCACTACATTCATCTGACGAATGTAGTGGAGTATGATGACATATATATCTGGATAGTAAACACATTTGAAATTGTTTATGATTGTTGTAACAGTTACTTAATAATTATTACACCACGTAGTGTTGTAGTCACGACCGCCCAAACCGAGATCAAGTCAAGACCAAGACCAGAGTTTATCGAGACCGAGACAAGACCAAGACTTTTAGGGGCTGAGACCAGTCGAGACCAAGACCGTGGGAGGGCGAGACCGAGTCCAGACCAAGACCAGTTCCCCGCATTACATGACACACAATATAATGTGGAACGAGATCATAGGTACTTCTCAAATTGATCTGAAAGATCCACATTCCCATTAAAACACCCACATACAAACACTAAGAGCTGAAATCAGCTTAAGCATCTTTATCCAACACACCTTTTCCATGTTTACCATCGTGGGGAGGGGGGGCAGTTGTTAACGGTAACATTTTTAATCAGGGTTATTGGTTGAATTTGAAGCAAAACGTTTTATATCCAGTCACAGTTAGGATCTTAACAAATAAATCAGACAATGCACATGCAATTTATTGATTTTCCCAAAGTTATGGTCTTGACTGGTCTTGAAATAAAATCCTGGGTTCTCCATGACCGAGACTAGACAGAGTACAAATGCGGTTGACTCTGAGACGAGACCAAGACCATCAAAAAGTGGTCTTAAGACTGGTCTCAATACCAAGACCGGTCTCGAGTACTACAACACTAACACCACGTTTACTTTACCTTCTTCCACTGATTTTCAACTGCAACCATCAGTCTTGTAATGAAGTGGTGTGGTAGTATGAAAGATAACAAATTCCAATTAAAATGTATTTTCTGCCTCAAGTAATCTGACTAAACCAACAAGTCGGGCCTAATCAGTGTTTAGTAATACAGTTTTTGTAACTCAGAGTAATTGAGTCCTGAAAGCTGTGCTGCAGCTGTGTTGTTGGTTGATGCTACAAAGATTTTATCCTGTCTTCTTTATCTAGTTGATGCAGAGATTGTATCAATTGATGCCTTCAACAAGTCTCTACCCAAAAGAGGCCTGGTGGGGGAATCACATTCGTCAAGGTATTTTAATTGTCAGAGCATGTGTATAGTTCACTATAAGGGTTGTAAATCATTTCTGAAGTTATATAAGCATTGTTAATTATGGCTGAACTCCTGCAGGACTCTGGTGACAAAGCCACACCGTTCCTGAATATCTACTGTGACTATGAGCCTGGCTCAGAGTTCAACCTAGAGTCTATTGCACGTGAGTGAAGCAGTGTCCTGATGTGTACGGTGCTCACAGATGTTTCAGATGCTGATGGTAGTGTGTGTCTCTGAACAGAGAGTTGCCTGAATCTGGAGTTGCAGTTCACGCCCTTCCAGCTGTACCACACAGAGTAAGTTTGCTGTTGCAGGGCTGTGATACAATGGGAGCTGATGAAAATACAAGTGCAGAGGCAGTTAGCAGCTAACTCTCAGGTTCACCGTGGCTTTTCAGCCTCACAAAGATAGCTCACATGGTAACTAGTACTGCAGGCCAAACCTGCACGGGGCATGTAGCCAACTCCTGATCAATCAGTTGTGAGGAAAACATTTAATCACCATTTGTACTGGACCCCTGAATGGACAAAATACTGCACTCACATTACAGTGACGAGTACAACCGAGCAGAGTGACATCATCACAAAGCAGTACACAAACTTAACTTCTCGTAGTAATCGGTTGTAATAGAACTATAGCAAATGTTTACAGTCAGTGTCCGATTGTGGTTATAAAACATGGTTTTTATAGCAGGTAGATTGATTGGATGTAGGGTCAATGATAAATAACTGAATATTATGTGTTTCTATTTGTCAATAGAAAATGTTTTTATAGACTCAATGATACGATATAAAAAAGTACAATGTGTCCTAAAAGCACCTTTATCATGGCTTGTAACACATATCCATTATCTGCAGTGTTCTGCTCTACATCAACAACACATTGTGATTGTGATGTCATAACTGATTATATAGATTTAACAAATAGAAACTTACCAATTCCAACTACTTAATACGTTCAAATGTCAAACGTGTGTTGTGTATATATGTGTGTGTGTGTTTGTGTGTGTGTATATATATATATATATATATATATATATATATATATATATATATATATATATATATATATATGTGTGTGTGTATATGTGTGTATGTATATATGTGTGTGTGTGTTTGTGTGTGTATATATATATATATATATATATATATATATATATATATATATATATATATATATATATATATATATATATATATATATATATATTCTTGTGCTGTTTTATGCTGTGCTTTTGTCTTACTGAAACTTTTATTGCTGCAATGAATTACAGTTACCACTATTATTATCTAATGCCTCTCTCTGTCTAAGGGTTTATTCATATGAAATGCTCCACTCTTGATAGTTTTGTGTGAAATAAATATTTGTACTCAAGAATGGGCTTTAGTGTCTTGACGGCTGATATATTGTCAGCAGCTTCTGTCTGACAGAAAGCATGACAGAGTGTATCTGCATAGTAAATGTCAGCAGCCTTTTCTCTCTCTGTCAGAGTGCAGTGTGAGGATGGAGGCAGAGAGACTGTATTTCTGCTCAGCGGTCATGACCAGAGGATCCACCTGTACAAGGAGGTCAGATCAGAGACTGGATGAACTTGAGGGAGTGTGTGTGTGTTTGATCAAAACTTAAAAATGTAGATTTAATCTGTTCCTTTCCATTATCAGTAGATCTGTGTATAAATGTATGCATGTAATTTAGTGCGTTTATGTGAGTATATGTTGTCAGGTGTAGTAGTGAAGTGTAGTACCTTTGATACCTTAGTATTTTTAATTACATGTATCAGTCCAAGTATGACATTATAGACATGTTTTGCTTTTCAAAATTAATAAATTATATTATAATATATTTACAATTAAATATACCAAAAGACCAGTCCATTATTATTGTCTTATCTTTCTATGTGTAAAGACTTTCAGTCAAAGTTTATAAAGTAAAATATTCGTACCTCAGTTTAGAAGCTGTTCTGGAGCTTTCGGTCGCATCACGTGATCTTCTCCTGTAGATGCAGTTTGCTCAGTTGTTATGGTAATATAGATGTTCACTTGAAGTACTCTCTGCCCACGTTGGCTTAAAAGTCGAGTTTCAAAGTGCATCCTTGACCTCGGAAACAGCTGTTGACAACAACAAGATTCATTATTCTGTCAGTGCTTGTGGACTAAAAGGGATGAACTGTTTTCCTAGCAAGAGAGACTAAACAAGATGAGACATCATGCAACATCAACATAAAAACATCAGCCTGACTCTCCTGTTTCCAACAGAACGCTTCCCTCCACCAGTTTGAAGAGCAGCCAGTGGAGAGACTGTTCCCTGAACTACAACAACTGCCCAGCAAGTTAGTCCCTTGTGCTCTGTTTGCTCTGTACCTGTCATTGTTTGATTGCGTGTGATGTGTAAATCACTCTTTTTCTCTCTGTGTGAATCAGTCTCATGATATTTCTTACTTTATTCTCAAATCTTGACTCAAAAGACTGTTCCATTTATCATATAAGAGAATGTTAAAGTTAAATCCCCCCATAGCTCATTAACAAATGCACACTGTAATGTAGAAAGCACAACAGCAACCATGTCACTGCAAAACGAAAAGTAACAAAAGAGGACGACAGAAATATAAAATGCAATAGACAAAGAAAAGAGGAACGTTTTCTGGCAATAATGCGATAAGACAATATACAGAGGATGGAAGTAGGAAATCATCAGCATTAATATTACATATGAGCCGAAGGCAAAAAAGTGATGTTTCAATGCTGTCTGTGTCAACACATTAGCTGAACAAAATGTACCTGCATGTATGTGCTTAATGCTTGTGTTTGCCCTCCCTCCATGCAGTGTGCTATGGCTGGATGTGTTGGGTATAGCTGGTGGCCGACGACTCTCAGCGTTTGGCTGTCAGAACGGCTGCGTTGGACTGGCTGTGGTCAACCAGACAGGACCGGGTGAGGGAGACCTCAGATTAATGGTTCTCTGAGATTTAGACCGGTTCAACTCTGCCACTGTCACATGGCACATCTGATGACTTTTCACAAAGTTCACCTCCAGAGTGTGATTGAGGAATACAGTGAAGCCACCCCTTCCTTCCTCCAGGGGCGCTGAACACATCTGTGCCTTTGGCCAGACTCCTATGTTGTATTATTTAAGTGGGTAGTATGCATAGAGTATACCTTAAAGGCACTGCATAGAGGTGGTTTCACTTCTTATGGCTCTTAAGACCTCTGCCAAGGTTGAAGGTGGGAATTATGTGGGGTCACTTTACTATTCTAATAAGATAAAGATGGAGTTTGTCCCTGTCAGGTGCAAACAAAACAACAGGAGAGTCATAGCGATGTCATTCAAGCACGGCATGTACACCCCCCCGCAGGCCTGATAGGGGAGCGACAAGGTTAGCAGTGGGGGGGTAACCATCTTGGAGTAATGGGTGAACAGTCCCAAGTTGGAATAAGTTGTTTTTCCCGTTCTTCCCATTTTTGCTCCTTCACTCATTAACTATAGGCTTTTGTTTACAGCAAACATTTTCCGTTATCATAGTAGGAAAATCAGTTACTAATAGCATTAACAATGTTCTATTCAAGTGCCCCAGTAAGGCTGCATTCAGACTCTCTGTGTGGAAAAAAATGCAGCCCTCTGATTCATTTGCACGGAGCCAGTCTGATGGTGCAAGCGGAGGTGCCAGCATGAAGGGGGCTCCAGCATGAACGCTGTTATTTCTACTTATCTTGTGACTGTTATGATGAAAGAGAAGATAGTTGTAAAATCCTGTCTGTGTTTGTATTACAGACCGTTGTTTAGTGTTCTGGCATCTGATAAGCCTTTAAAACATTTATTTTCCTCAAACAGGACTTCTTGGATCGCACCCTAACCAACACAGCCCCTTGTGCTGTTTTCTGTCTGAACCCACTCTAAGCCACGACAGTGTGAGAGTGAGCCAACATATGCAGTACTGGGATCTTAAAACTGAAGCAGCTAAATGGAATTCAGCCATCATACATTTGATCATTAAACAAACTATTTACACCCGTGTCATGGTTGTACATTTTGCATCTATAAAATGTGATGCATTGAATTGTGGGATTGCTAGCAGAGACTTGAAACATGCTATGGATGCTACTGGTTTAATTCCATTGTGGGAATTTTTGAGGGCACTACATAGTGCATAAAATTTCACACTGTGTGTGTTGAGAAATCCATGTTGGAGGCAAATATCTTATTTTGTCAATTTGAGTATGAGGACCCCTCTCTGATGGGGTTTTCAAAATGTACCTCTTTTATATATTTTCCATATTGGTTCTATATTAAATAACCATGAGATGCAGTGATCATGAATATATTGTATTTTATCAGAGGTTTTGCAGAGCTGGCGGTTCCAGTTTGACAGTCCAATTTCTACAGTGCTGCTGTTTCCTCTGAGCTGCCATACAGAGCCCAACCAGCCCAGTGGAGAGAAAAGTATGTAACTGCTCTGTTTCACATCTTAAGACCTGTATCCCTATGATTTTAAAGTACTGTTTTTTGACTGTGTAATTTCTTTTTCAGGGGTGGAAATGGAAAGCTACAACCTTCTGGTAACCAGTGCTATAGAGATGGCAGTTGTTTATAGGTCAGAATCAGATAACTTTGTGAAGAGATCAAATGGTTTGGTGCATTTGTGGTTGAGAACATGAGTCCAGGATGTGTTCAAACAGTGTGTTATTTGCGCGTCTGTGTTTTCTCAGAGATGTTGAGGAGCGAGGCTTGTCTCGCCCTGTGTGCCTCTCAGAGAGTGACCAGTGGGATGCAGTGCTTTGTGCTCTGGTTATTGACCTGGATTTTGACGGACAGAAGGAGGTGCTGTTGGGAACATATGGGCAGGTCAGAGCTCCTCTATTAATGGTGGTTAATAGTACTTCCAAGGATAAAGCTGGTGATAGTCTAGATTTTCATATTGTCAAAAAATCCCATGAAGTTACTTTCTGACTGCTTCAGTCAAATATCTATAAATAGTCAACAACTAATTAATTATGCGATTAATCGTTGCCACTCTACACTAGAGAGACATTCACAGCAGCAGGATGATGTCTGTGGGATTGACATGTCAGCCAGTGCAACAGTGAGGCTCATTAACGTGTTTTTAATATATATTTTTATAAAAATGGAGCTCTATGGCACAGAGGAAGAAGGTATACCAGGCATGGATAGGTAAAATGACCTAAACAGTAGGTCCAGATCAATTGAATACGCTTGAACAAGACATAGGACATGTTTGTTGTCACGTTTCAGGCATCTGATTAGAATGACCGATGTGGTTATCTGCCTTTCTCCCATACAGGAACTCCTTTGTTACAAGTTCCAGCCAGCAGGGAGAGGACAAGATGGACAGTTTCAGCTGCAGTGGAGGCGGAGCTTCAAGAGTCCTTTGCTGTCCATCATCTACTTAGACTTGACTGGGGACGGTTTGAGAGAGCTGGCCGTCCTCACACTAAAGGGACTGCATATCTTACAGGTGACAGTTCTGTTACAGTGACATAATAAAAGCTACATTGTAGCTTCCTGTCAGGGTTGGTGCTTCTCTGCTATTGATCCTACTGTTGTTCTGTATATTCAGTATAATAGATAGCTCATCTGCTGACTAAGTCAACATAAAAGCATGCTCTACAATTGAGAAATGATTTTTTTTTTCTAATGGAGAGGTGGATTGTAATTGCTGACCTCTACTGGCCATCAGGATAAATTGCAGTAGAACTGATGAGATTTGAGAGATTTTGCAGGCCCTTAGCCTCCTTTGTCTCCTGTGTCCTCTTGATCTGTGTTGGCCTGTAATTGTCAAATATCTGATAAAGACATAATGACCAAATACTTTCATAAAATGCTTTACATTTGCTTTTCTGTATTTAAATTAGGGTTTTCCGTCATCATTTGATGCCTGTTGTAGCATCATTCTCCATCACTGAGAAGTTGGCCAACAACCCTAACAAACCCCAAAGAAAAATGATTGCCATAATCTGCAATGTAACAAAAAATATCTCACTTTATGCACTATTTCAGCTTTGTCACTTACACGCATCCAGTACTAGACAACTCCTGTACCATTTCTATAGCAAAGCTCACTGCTGATATTTCTTCTGCACAAATCAATTCAACAGAGAAATCTGTTTACATACTGTATATCTCATTTGATGTATTATTTTGTTCCCTGTCTTTTCAGCATACTCTTACCAGCACTGCTGATTTGGTCCTTGAGCGGCTCGCCCAGAGGGTGTCAGCGCTGACCGCCGGCTCTGAACTGGACTCAGCCAAAGCTCAAGACACTGAGCAGAAAGAGGAGTGTTAGCTCAGACGTCATTAAACTAAGACAAACAGTGCATTTTCTTTACACGTGTAAGTCCCAATTGTTTAGACTGCAGGGTTTGCCTTTTTGCAGGTGTAATGTGAAGAAGTTATAAATTTGAATGAAGAGCTCACATTAAGCTATGAGGTGATGTGCTGTAGATAATGTACATTTGCAGATAATAAATGATGTTGTGTGTTGGGTATTTATTGCCTATGTTATTGTTGCTTTCTTCCTTTGTGTAATTAATTTGACTTCATATTGAATTTCAGAATGTTAGGATTAGGAAGATTAGATTAATTAGGGCTGGGATTATTAAACTTATCTCTAATTCAAACTTCATTTTTATTCAATCTTTCTGAGACTAATGTCTCAGGATGGTGACACCCAGAGAACTTCAGAAATAAGGGGAACTGGACTGGAAGTGCATTATTAGCATATTTCTTTTTTATTTCTGTGTGGAAATGATATAGTGAAACAGATTTTAATACTGAACACCAGAACCAATAATATAGCACAGACATGTTTTTCAGAGTTTAGCATTACATAATAAAGGTTCCAGTGCTGTTATCAGTTTACCTGAGGTGTTCTATTTTTAGGTTCAGAAAAAGTCAAAGGAAAACAAACCAAACTAAAAAAGCAATGTAGAAACATTTAGTACAGTCCAAATATTTGTATAGAGATAGTGAGATGAAGTGGAAAAGCAGTGGCTTCAGGACATAGTTGCTTCAACTTCCCATCAGATGGATCTTAGCTTTATTGGCCTCGTCTTTCGGCCGGTCAGTGGCACTGTAGTCCTCTCTGGAGCTCTCAAACTATATTTCTCCCCTCTCGCGCTACAAAGGAAACAATAACAACAGCTGCACTTATCACACGGAGGACTTCAGAAACGTGACGTGATGATGACTTAAGAAAGCTATGTTCCTGCGCCTTGCCTCTGCGAATCTGTTGCACTTGTTTTAATGGCTGATCGGCTTTATTTTGAGGCGAGGGGTTGTTTTGCGCGTCAACAATAAGGAGCATGCTGTTGGAGCGGCGGCGAGCGCGTTAAATGAGCGCATTTCACTCAATGGGATTTTTATATTTAGCTCTGTGAGGGACGCACTGGACAAGCAGCAGAGCAGCGGAAAGAGGAGACCCCGATCCCGCTGTTGTCTGACATTTTGATCCCTTTGAGGCCGTTTCGAGTCCCCCAAAACTTGTCGTTCGTATCGCGGTGCGCGTTATCAGGCTATGTGGTGGTGACGGCGCTGTGTGTGAGGGGGAATAGCGCAAATTGATCTACAGCTCCGGGGCGAAAAGATGATGATGGCCGGTGGTGGCGGAGCAGCCGTGGACCATAACGGGATCTACTCAAATCCTAACCTCCACAGCCTGCAGCAGCCCCTCATGGAGGCTGATAACCCGGACTCCCGCAAACGACCGCTGGAAACTCCCGCGGAGGAGGCCGGCTGCACTAAGCGCACCAACACCGGAGGTAAGAGAGATACACAACATGAAGCACCTCGTCCACCGAGTCTCCTCCATATGAAGACAAATCTGTGGTTGTAAAAGCCTTTGCATGCATTGGTGGGAGCATAACACCAAAACACTGCCTTCAGTACCTCCCCACTGCGTGCCAAAAAACTACGTGGTGCAGCATAGAAGCAGATGTGGGCTGCATATTAGGCTATAGCATGCAGCACCTGTGCAGTTGGCACTTTGAAACACTGACTGTGATTATAGCTGTTACTTCATACCCTGCATAACCCAGCAGAGAACAGGCAGCCCTGACTGAGTGAGTGGCCTCCTCAGCTCAGGTCAGCTTTGAATTTGAACTCAATCACCTCTCTGCTCCACATCTGGAGGTATGCTATGAAGTCCTTCATTCAGTGGAGGAGTGATGATTTCTGTGTAGAGGCTTAATATTACAAAGGAGAAGTAATCACAAGAACCAGACCTACAGTAGCCTACAGTGTTGATTTGTGGAGACTGACAAGAAAAGGACAAAAACTAACTGAGCTCTTGTGTTCACCTGAGATGCATGATAGACTTTACATGGTAGATTTAGCGTCAGTGATTGGGAGATTTTAGTGGATGTTCTTTCTGCTTCAGGGCTGAAAGTCTGCTGATTTAGAGTTTTGTCACATGAAAACTGCCAGAAGTTAAGTGTGCGTTTTGAAGGACAAATTTTGGGGTGAGCGAAACAGGACAACCATCCAGTAAAAATCATACAACTCTGTACAACTAGTTGGACACACACTCATCACCTCTTGTAGCCTAGATTCCTATCAAAGTCAAGTTATTTATAAGGTGTGAGGTAAGCCATATCTCAGCATCTGTTTGATATTTTTGGTTTTGCCATTCCAGCTTTTAGACCTTCTGAACTGTTAGCACACTGTATGATGGTAAAATTACAATTCTAAAATATTAAAATGAGAAATCAGAACATGCAAGTGCTCACCGAGCAGAGCTGGGTGGTGTAGATGTTGACAAATTAGGACCTCTTTTGGTTCCATCTATCCCTGCATGACAATGTGAACTCACACATTTAAACTGAACGATAATAACAGATTGGAAATGTTACAAGAACATCACAGAAATCAGGGAGTAGGGAGAAGAGTGAGAAGTACTAGTTGGGGGGAAAAACACTACAGAAGCACTGCAGCGCCATTTTAGCAAATTGATCCTGATTTCATTTTCTGGAGGAGAAATAGTGGTGGCCAATAAAGAATCAACAAGGCGGTGTGAACGCTTTATTACTCATCAGTAAGATGTCGGAGTGCAGCAGTGAGGATGACGGCTGATTCAGTGCGCCAGCTACTGTACATCTTATTTCAGCGTGTGATTGTTCTGGTCTGCAGCTCACAGGGACCACTTATTCAAGAACTTAATGTTAATTAGACATCCGTAGAGAACAGGCAGTTTCTTCACCATATGTTACTGAGTTTTCCTTTGTCTGTCTTTGTGTCCCAGACACCTCGCCATTCGATGATAGCAGCATTATATCCTATTTCTAACAGCATGAGTGCGTTTTTGCTGCGCCTCACTGCACCTCAGAAATGTAATTTCAGCAAGGCACGTACGGACCCTTGTGTCACCAGACAATATTTTAGTACAGATTCAGCCCCCATATGTCCTCCATTAGCACCCCTGAAACCACTGTAGAACAGAGAAGTCACATGGCGGTCCTGCTTCTAGAGGTTTTGCCATTCAGCTGTAGCACAAAGAATTCGTCATGATCTTTCCATCCAGTACCCAGGTGATTGTTGTGTCTATGATGGTTACCAGCCTGATTCCATCTTCCTTTAAGGAATCTCTGTATCACAGGCCCACTATACTTCTAGAATCTGGAGCTGCACAATTAATTGTGTCCTGAGGATGGTCTAACTCTGAAGAGCCTGTCTTGTTTTCTCAGAGGCAAAGTTGTTCCAGGTGGCTTCCTAAACACGATCTTATCTTTGTAGAATACCCAAACACACAATCAAGGAAAACTATGAAGAAATCCCATTTAAAGGTATTATTGTCTTAACCCTGTAAAATGGTGGACACGTGCAAATCATATTGTAAATTATACTGAATTATGTAGTATGTAGTATACTTTTCCCCACCACAATGACCTGTGATCAACATTTTAAATAACTGTTAAGAAGTGAAGTGAAGTGAACACACAAGAATCACTGGCCTTTAAGACCAGATTTATGGTTGCCTTTTAACATATGTGTTCATTTGCAAAACGACATTTGGTTTGTGCTTAGTCCTTTAATGCTGACCTGGAAATGTCAAAAATGAATAAAAAGGTACAAAATCTCGGTGCAGTAATGGCAATACATGTGGAATGGTAACCCGGGCTAAACTGATTTAAGAACCACTGGTTTATACAATTAATAAAATGAGTATTTCTCACCTCTACAATTAATTTAATGCATAGTTTGACCTGAACAGTTGAGCCAAGTAGCATCTGTATTCACTCATGTTATGTGGTAACAGTCTACTGGCCCTTTATTGTTCTCACAATCAGTATAGATGTGTTTAAGGCATTTTATTCTAAAATAAATTTAACTTCTATGGTACAAGTTAGCTTAGCATTGTCTCTACAGTGTTAGCATATGCGGTCCTTCTGATAAGTATCTAATTTGAAAAAAAACCCAGTGCAGATCTTTGAGGCTAATTTGGACTGCAGTACTACAGGCTGAGCTCAGGAACAGAAGTTCCGTCTATATGTTTAAATAAAATGCACATTTAGACCATTTGTAATGACTCCTACACAGATGAGTTCATATTTCGTCCCCCTGTGCTTTATTTAATGTGTTTTAGCATCACCTCCCATTTCATGAGATCTACATGCATTATTTGTAACGTTGCAAATTCATAGCCTGTATGGCAATAGTTGTAGACAGCCTGATAATCCTCAGCCATCCCTGTAATCAACAACCCCTCGACTACGTCTGATATTGATCACGTTATTCCTACCGAACCGATCATTAACATGACTGGCAGTTACAACAAAGAGAAGAAAGCCTGTGCTCTTTCAAAGCTGAGCCTCTCGTTGTGCATTAATAGCTGTAGACACTGAATGAGGGAAATTACTCCTCTTTTATCAGCATTGCCCTTCTCTCCTCAAAATGAACATCTTTCATTCATTTCTCTTTCTAATTACCCATACTCTGAGCCCATGTTGCTGGCAAGCATGTGCCTTCCAAAAGGTTGTGTGGCTGAGGGATTAGGTATGATCTCGTAATGTTGCTAATGGAAAGGTTGGCACAGGAATGTGAGCTGGATTTTTTTTTATTTTTGGTGGGAAGGACACAGGTGCCCTTGCAGAGCGATGTGACGTGAGCGGACTGTGAATTTGCCAGGTGGCAGTGAAAGAGAGAATGAGAGAGAGCGATAGAAATGAAGACAGAGCAAAGCAGAGAGAAACGGGGAGATAGATAGACTGTGAGAGGGAGTGGAGTCTACAGGGAGGCTGTGTCTATACACTAGAGCATCTCTCAGTGAATGAGACTCGTAGAATTTTCTGGAAGGCGTTCGCTCCAAAACCAAATGGGCCACGATGTAAAGGTTTGATTTGTGGATGAAATTCATCATCAGCCAGGAAAAAAAGGAGTTCCGTCTTCTTCTTTTTTTTTTTTACAGGTTTGGAAAGCACTATTAGATGAAGCTGGACTTCTGGTGTGCACACACAGACACTTACCCGCATGCACATTGCAGTTTTTACACACA